AATTTTTACCCCAAATATATGATTTATAAATCCACAAAAAAGAATATTACTCCCAAACTATATTTACATATATCCTGCTACCAATTAAATTGGGGCAAATTCCGGGCGGCATTTTTTTATTCACATTCACACTTTAACAAATGATGGATCGGGAAAATTTGGTATAGGACCTACAGGTCATTCAACACTTCAATTTGATCAATTGTTCAATTAAATTAATCTTTGAGGTTTGATAGCTTATATATGGCACTAGCGGAGCTAAGGGGGCTTAAGGGGGCCAGGCCCCCCTAAGCTTTCGAAAATTTGGTAGTTCGATCTCCTAAACTTTGTTTTTATTATTTTTATCTTGAATAATTTTATTATAACTTTAGTTATTTTTTATTGTTGAATATTAAAAAATGAGAAAAATATAGATAATAGGAAAGATGACAAAAAAAAAAGATCAACTGAATAAAAATTATTCAATATTATCATTTTATAAAGCATTCACTAGCAAATTTTCACTTTTCTTTTTTAGTAGCATTTTTTTACTCATTATATATGTTCATTTTGTCCTTTAGTTATTGGCGTTCAAATTACTTCATCAACCACTATTAATTTATCATTAAAGGCTAATAGATATTGTCTATAATAATTTTTTAAAAAATTTTTTTATTGACTTTTCAATTTACATGCACACATTATTTCTTAATTAAAATTTTTTATTGTATTTACAGCCTAATGTATTTAAGGAAATTAATTTTTTCTCATGTTGGTCCCAAAATTTAAACCCTACACTTAGGTTACAAGATGACACTTGTTTATTTGTAGATTCAACTGTTAGGATTAGATAAAATTTCTTCATGCCTCTAAAAAATATTTCTAACCTTGCCACTAGTTTATAGGTCAATTTTAAAGTATGCTTGGTTTAAAGAAAATAGAGAAAAAAATGAAGGGAAATAATGACTTTTTTTTAACTAATTTAATTATAACATTAACAAATAATCTAATTTGATTAGTCACAAAATCCATCCATTCCCTCTCATCATCTTTGTTTTTTTAAAGCCAAACATTCTCTTAAAATTTAGTAGTCTTTACTCAACATCCATATAGAAAAAGAGTGTTGTTGTTTGTAAATATTCCCCTTCCCTAAAAGTTGCCATCAAATTATTCAATTAAAAATTGTTCATTTAATATTAGTATTAAAATTAATTAATGTTAACTTTTATATTATCTTACATATAATTTGTTTTTGATAGCTCTTATATATAAATTATATCTAACTTGCACAACAAAAACCCTCACTTTGCCCTTCAACAATTTGAGTATAAGGGATTTTACCCTTCATTTTATAATTTATGAGTTTTAACCCTTCAATTTTTCGAATTTATGGCAATAATTAATGTTACATGGTCACGTGTAGCACATTACCATTAGTCCTCCATTACCCATGCCATGTTAGCACCACCGAAGTGCCACCTAGATGCCTATTTTACTAGTTGGGACTATTAGCTTGGAAGACAAAATCCCATGTTTTGCCCTTCACCTTGAGGGTTTTGCCCCTTAACTTATAATATATGGATTTTTACCACTTTAGCTTATTGATTTGAGCAAATGAGGCAAAGTTGAAAGTTTAATAGTCACATGTAGCACATTGGCCTTAGAGC